TTTAGGATCAAATTCCAGTCCCCAAGTGACTCAAAATCCCAGCAACCCTATCCAAAGAGGTCAGGAGATGTGTGGGTGTCCATCTGGCACCCCGGGAAAATGATGTCTCATTCAAAGACTCCAGGGTTGTTCGGATGCTTTGACTGTACGTGCTTGCGTGTTTACCACTGTAGGACCAATATTGGATGGACGTGAACCCTGAACCAGGCAAAGGGCAACATGCAACAGCCCGGCTTATTCCAAATGCTCCAGGTTTCTCTTGCGCAACTGATTATGTCTCAGAATGAAGGAACCTCCGAACCCTGCCGATAGGCTGGTAGGAACAAAAATGAACCAAAAATTGGACAGTTCGGTTCAGTCCTTCGATTGCAATTTTCTTAAAACATCTTAAAACTGCAGGACCCACCTGAACTGCGGGACACCGAGCTGATCTTCCTCAACTCCCTCGAGCTCGAGCTCACGCTTCTTGCACGAACGGAGGCGCGCGCCTGAACTCCTCCATGACCTCCCTCTCGGCCTGAGTCCGCCCTCTCTCGGGAGGATCGGTCGCTTGGTCGATGGGACTGAGCGGAGGATCGGTCGCATGGCGTGTTCCAGCAGCCAGCGCCCACCCAACAAAACAAATAGGTTTCTACGAGCACCTTCCAAGAGGTGTCTATTCATAGTCTCTTAGAGGTTAAGGGGTGTCCCAAAAACCACCGGACGGTCTTAAGGTCCTGGTACTAACTAGCACCACTGGAAACGGATGGTGCTTGGATGGAAAGTACCGTTCAGGGGGTGATGGTCACCACCCCGCAACTCTGTGGGGGCCGGGTTGACAGAAAGAGAACGGTCTGGGCATCGCTTTCTTCTGGGCATCTGTCTCGGTTTGGCTCACCAAACCCGGAACGACTGGTCGGCTCGGATCACTTGCCATCGATTCAGTCGGCTCGGTTCTCCGCCGTGGAGCACCTGCACGGGCCGAGACGAAGGTGGCGCCTGCTTGTGTGCGCTGCCCATGAGCCGACGCTCCAAGCGCAGAAGGCGCTCAGCATCTGCCTGCCCAAATCGACGACTGGTCCAGTCCAAAGAGAGGACGGAGGGATTCTGAAGCAGAAGTGTAGAGGACCACTGAGGACCACGGGCATCGTTTACACCCTAGTTGCGTCCTTGCTCCTAGTCGTAATGGCCTCCAATCTAATAGCGATGGCCTCCACGTAGTAGCTTCTTGTTACGAATTCGGATTGGAGAATTCATCTCGTTTTAAGACTAATTAATGGATGTGTCCATCACATAGATCAGGAGTTCCTCTGACATCTATATAAATGATTTGTGTGTGTGTGCAGCGCCCCAAGCCAGGGGGGTTGAACGATGGGTCTTGCGCCGGTTTCAGGGAAGCCACGGTCAAACCAGGACGGAGCGTCGAAGTGGGCATCCGAAGTGGGTGGTGATGGGTCACTTCTGATGGGACCCTCAAGTACTTCGAGTTGCGAAGCGCTGGGGTCACTGCCCGAAGCCCTCCGTTCGCCCCTCGAAGCCCCGAGGGCGACGACGGTGCAAAGGTGGTCTCTCAGCTCTGGGCTGTTCGGCTTCTTGGATCCTCAACGGCCACACTCGGTGACCAGTTGATTTGCGCCTAGGACCTTAAATAGACTATTACGGTGACGGTTCCAAACACATCGATGATCTGTTGCGGTTCTTTAAACTGCAGAACATGTGCGCGCGAATTCCGGGCGCTCAACCCCTTTGGTGGCTAGAAATTTGCTTGAAAAGTCTTTTGCAGAACCACCATTGTCTTGCAGACCAAACCTGGCCAACCAACTCTTTCTTTAGACGAAATTGGGTCCGGGGAAGGCCAAATCAAGTTCCTTTGTTGGACGAACCTTCTTCCCTCCACCCCTTTCGGCTACAGGCCCCCGCGCCGAGGACAACGTGCTGGAGGGCGAGACGGACCCCGTCGACGTCATGACGGCCCCGGGAGAAGCGATGTCAATGTAGTGCTCTTGATGTTTCTAATCCCCCCGATTTTGAAGAAGTCCTACAGTGCAATCCAAATGGGTGGTTTTATCATTGACCGGGTCACCTGCGGAAGTGTCATGGCGCTCATGCTGCGCTTTTCGCTTGTGGGTCCTTGGCCCTCATTGACGGCGGCGACGACGCCTTTTTGCGTGGATGTTGAAGGGGGCTCCGGACGGTTTGATAGAACGCCTTTTCTTGGCCCCTCAAGGCCTAGGCCTAGGTGCCTTGTTCTTGCTGCTTCTACTTTGGCATGGAGGCTTTCAGTTGATCCAGGATTCGTTGGCCTCCAAACCTGCGAGCTTTCTGTTATCACAGCACACGGCTTTCTTCAGCCTTAAGCCACACTGGCAGAGTCGACCAGAAGTGAGCTGCCAAAACATCAAGCCCCCATGCACATGCTGCCACAACCTGCTCAGACTTTGCTGCTCGGTGGCCTTTGAAGGATCTCCCAGTGAACTTGCGAACCCTGCCCAGTGGTCCAGGCAACCGCAGGGCTTTTCTGCAAAAAAGGTCCAGTGGGGGAGCTTCCTGCATGATGCACGGGTGAGACCCCTGCCGACCCAAAAAACTGCACCAGCGAGGTATATACTTGGTGTGAACAGGGCGCCCAAGCCACGAACATCTCTGAATGCTTTTCCAAGTCTCTCCTAAGCTTTTCAAAGTCTTTTCCAAGTCTCTCCTAAGCATGTGTCGTCCAGTGCAAAGGCCCTCCTAAGCCAGTCCCTATTCCGTCTTATATAATTCGTTCAATGACTCCGATTGAGGCTCTCTTTGAGACCCAGGTCCTCCACACGTACCTACGCCGACGCCGACGCCGACCGACCCCGCCGCTCTCCGGTGCTCCAAGGGCCACCGCACCAAGCGCCCCCGAACCACGTCCATGGGCGTCACGATCTCCGCGCACTGGGCCTGGTCGCTCCCCAGGTCCGGGTCTCCGGGCTGGGCGCTGAAACTCCGGACGCCGCGCCGTGGGCGGTTGGGGTCGGGAGGGGCGGGGGGGGCGGCCGCTTCGGCGCGGGAGGCGGTGTTTCTTCTTCAGGATCGGAGATATCAGTCACAGAAAAGAAAAAAAACAATGGAGTTTGGGCCATGGGTGAGGGTTTGGGGACGAACGATCCAGCTGTTTGGAGGGCGGAGTTGTTTTCACCCTGGGCAGAGAGCTGGGCAGAGAAGAAGCAGCGGCCCAAGATGGACGCGGAACAAAACCAGGAAAGAATGGTGTGGAGAATGTTCAATATATACAGTAGTCGTTTTGAAAGGTGTCTGTTTCGTTCGTTTCACTTCCACAGCTGTTTTCGCTCAAAACGCGCGGTTTCCGCTCTCCGCACCTCTGGCAAGGGTGGTGCAGTCCGAACAAAGTAGACCACACCTCAAACCACAGGAGCCAGGAAAACAGGATATGGGCTGGAGGTTGAAAGCTGGCACTCACCCCAGCTGACGATGCAGCGAACATGCGCATGCGCGACCCGCTGAGGGTCGCATCCTGACCTCACCGGGAGCTGGGTGAACTGAATGGCACGATATGGCACGGACCTCGTCGGAAACACCAAGTCTGGACAGGTGGGTCAGGGGCTATCCTTGCGGCGAGTATCCGACTAGTGGATGTCAGTGTACTCAGTGGATCACGGGTATTGCACGGTATGGTCCTTTTCGGCATGTCTTTGCATCTTAAGAACCGACCCAAATGGATGTCCTTTCACGTTCAACTTCTACAGACCACCCAGGACACCAGTCGGACTTCCCCAGGGCAAGAACCTGGAAACAAACCTTCCAGGATCCGACCTCCAAACGTCCAGGTCCATCCAGGTCCGAGTCCTCTCAGGTCTGCGGCCAGCCACCGCCAAAGCCATGAAGAGTCCATAGAGCACCAAGCTCTGCCTCGGCGAGTCCGCGGAAAGCGCAAACCTTGGTGCAGCTGAGATGTACGTCAAAGATCAGAAGGAATTGGTGGAAAAACGGTGGTTTCAGAGGTTCGATGGCACAAGTTACCCCAAGTTTGGTGGTTTATATGGACCCCATCTAAAGGACATTTTGAGGTTTGTGCCATCTACTGTGAAACCACTGTAAACAGTTCGAAAGGGCTCAAAAAATGGCAATGTCCTGCCAGTGAGGCCTCTCAATCCAACGTTGAAAAAGAGGAGGACATTGTCTGTTTGGACTCTGAAACTTGAACCAAACACTCACCTTTGCCCCTGGAGACCACCTATGGCAGCTCCAAACTTTGGAAATCTCATGGAAGTCTTCTTGTTTGCCACGGAGTTTCCTTTCTTTTTCCCCTCGCATGGGAGACCTTTTGCACCTCCACCCTATAGGTCACCACCTTCGCTTCTGGTCTGCGATCCCAACCCTTCCCCGCGGCGCCTCAACGTGAGCGCCATTCGCTTTGGCGGAAAACCCGCAGGCGCTCGCTGAAACGCTGAAAACCCCCGCCCCCCAGCGCCCCGAAAACGACGCGCGGGGTCTTGGAGCACCACCGGCTGCGGACGAAGAAGGTGGGACGACGAAAATCCACCCACCCCACAGACAAGCATCACAAAACCACTGGGTCACTGGGTAGCACAAAGATAGAACATGGAAAACATTCGGCTCGTTCCCATTCACCAACCTCACTCGAGGATTGCCAACAAGCCACTGGCTACTTGACTCTCCAAGTCTCACAGACCTGTGTGTGTTTTGATCGACCAGCTCCAAAGAACACCACCCAGGATCAGCCCCGTCTCCACTTTTCGCAGTGATTGGGGGTCACCGCCTTTTTCGGCACCACCAACCCATCATCTCCCGACCCCACTCCGCTCGGTTCTCCGGTGCCTCGGTCCTGAGTCCGACCTTTTCTTCGCTGTTCCTAAAAGGAACCGAATAGGAATGGCCTCCACCCAAGGAAGATGGCCTCCAACGAGCATAGCTTCGAACGCTACTAAGAACGGAGCTTCTTAGTTCCTCGCAATGGCCTAGCTACCTACGACCGCCCATCGCCTCCACCGAGCCTCGCACCCTTTTGGTCCTCAAATCTGCGCTTTGCCCTTGAGCCTCCGGGTGGTGCGATATAGCACCGCATCCAGAAGACCGGCCACCTCGGTTCCGGGCGATGGCCGCCATGGCCCGTTCCGTTTCGATGAACACCGCGAGGTGATGGTGAGCGGTGTGGCCGCAAATGGCAAAAGGCCAGAAAAACCAAAGGCCAAAGCTGGGGGAACATGAAAACATGTTCACGGAATCTTGGCAGACTTCTTGAGTTGACATACATGGATCTTGGAATGTTTTGGGTTTGCAGCTGGTGTGCCCTTGTTTGACCCCCAAGCTGGAACGCCTTCCTCACCCCTCGTCGAAATAATCACATGCCCAAGTCATGAGTTCACGGACGTAGTTCATGCTCTCTGTTGGTCGCAAGTGCTCAGCTTCTTTTGGGCCAGTGGTCCATTCAGGCAAGCTTTGCTTGGTCAGCTTCTATTCCGTTCCGCCTTCGGCCATCTGGACCGGGATCGCTTCGTGACGAGGCGCCGTGAAGACGCCGCCGATGATGGCGCACACGGAGATGAGGAAGTGCGAAAAGGGCACCTCCTGATGGCACGGAAGCGAAGGCGCATCGGAGGGCCCGGTCGATCCCGGTCGCAGCTGGTGAAGAACGTGGACGACTTGATCGGGTGATGCGAGGTTGGCATGTTCCATTTCAAATAAAAGGAGTGCATCTCTCTGACACAGGCCCTGGTTCGAGCCCAAGCTAATTGCGTGCCTTGACACTGACAAGTTCTCTTGCGCCACTGGTCAGCACTGGGATTCTACCACCAGGCAATAACAAGTCCATAGAAACATCTTCTGAGTCTTGCGGTGCCAATCACGTCTTCGACGTTGAGGACGACAAGTGTCCCACTGCCCCGGGAAATGAAGATAATGAACCCCCATCAAATCTGCAAAGGATGGCGCCTGTCATCGCAAGACCCTCCCCAAATCAGCGTCCTCCGCAAAACCCTCCCCTCTTGACAAGAGCAACCATTGACAAATTATGAATGAATGCCAAAACAACTGTGGAACAGCAACAGCAGCAACCACTATACAGCAGCAAGTTGTGCGGCTGGAATCTCCAGCCCTGAGCCTTGGATGGAGCCGTCCTCTTCCCCGCCTTCACGGTCTTCTGCACCATAAAAGGAGTGAACCTGGGAACCCGCCCTTTTTTCAGGCTTTTGACGTTAAATGCATTGGAAAACGCAATGGATTAAAAAAGATTGTCTATGGCTTTTTGAAAATGACGTCAAGAACGCTACACTCTCACGGTCCGCCGCACTCGGTTTTTTATGGCCTAAAAAATGGTTTTCTCGCGGTGCGGCCAATTTCCACGTTTTTCATGCGCTTGCTCTCCCCAAGCAAGCTCTGCGTTCCTTTATTTTCACAGATCCTTTGTCGAGCAAATCAGCGGCGGCTCGATCTTTGAAACGAGTGGACAAGTCAATCGAGGAGTCTAGATACCAACAGTCAGCGACAAAAAAGTTCAACGAAGGAGAAGGAAAGCGAAAGAATCGATCGCGACGTGACAACCCTAAAAGTAAAGTCAGAACAAGGGAACTCAAACAAAAGACAAGTGACGCATGACATAGACTTGAGCCGACGAAACTGCAAGTAAAAAACATTCTTTAAAAAAAAAAGCAAACAAGACTGAAGCAGTGCACATAAAAAACCACTACGCGGAAGAAAAGTTAGCCTTGTTCCTGAACCTTGCGTTTTTGTTGCTGAATCGTGCAGTTTGGTTGCTGCATCGGTCAGAGTCATTTTGGTTGCTGAATCACATAGTTGCTGAATCGCGTAGTGGCGGAAGCATGTTTGCTGAGTCGTACTGTTTGGTTGTTGATGCGTGGTTGCTGAATCGTACTATTTGGTTTCTGATGTACCACATGACAAAACCAACTTCGAAAAAAATGTAAAAATGATTAAAAATGGGTCCGGTGTTCAATTGCAATGTTGCACGCATGCTGTTCATTCATTCTTATACTTGTTCGTCGTGCAGCGTGTCTTTTCTACCTTTTCTGAAAAGAGAAAAGCACATCCAATCGAACGTCATTAGCCCTCCAGGGGGGATAATGACCTTCGATTGGATGTGCATCTAAGATGAAGCATCATGCACACACACACACACACACGTTAAACTCACGGTCGATGTAGTTGTTGGATTGCACGCGTGAGTTTGTGAAGGGCAGAGCTCCGGAAGATCTCTCGGGTCCTTAATGCCCCGTCTTACACTCCCAAAAACTAACTTGGACCCTGTGAAAGACTGCCTTTCCCTACAAACCAGTGGTTTTCAGGGTCCATGTTAGTTTTCAGTGGGGTAAATGTAAATTGGCCCATGAAGGTTGAGTCGAAAAAGCCCAATGTCACCTTCTTCATCCTTACATCTTCATGCCAAGCAGTACCGAACATGCCGGTTCGGATTGACAAATACAACTGACTGGGCCTCGACGGCGACCAAAAACGCCGTGGAGAGGGCCCCGAGTGACGATGAAACCTGAATCCTTGCGATCTGGAGTTCCAGAAAAAAGCAGGGGTTCCATGCCGGGGTGGTGCCCCTTGGAGGAGAACTTCTGGCGTCCGCGGCGTGCCTCAACGGCTGCGGCGTCAGGTTCGGAAACTAAAAGGTTGGTTTCGGAAAACGTGGCTTCAGACACTGGCTTCAGACACTGGTTGGTTTCGGAAACTACTACTGTACGTCAATACCCCCCCACCCAAACCACCCCACGTACCTGAAGCTATCACTGGGCCCGAAGACAAAGAAGAAACCCGGGTCTCTGAATTGGTGCAAAACAGTGTCTGATTTTGACCAAAAGAGTGTCTGAACCCGAAGACACAGAGTTGCTGAACCCGACACAAAGTGTCTGAACTTGACGTTGTTCCACGTGCAAACCGGGCAGCTCGTAGACCAGGAAGACACCGGGCAAACCGGCCAATTCACCCTGCCTCAGTCCGCCCCCCGGTCGGGTCGAGTCCGCGATCATGAAGCTGCTAGAGCTTGGGAAAGCCGATGTTCTCCATCAACCCTCGGCCCGCTCCAGCTGAGTTCCTTCTTCATCTGGCAAGCTCGAGATGAGGTTTGTTGGACATTCGACCCCCGGGCGGTGTGGACGAATGGTTTTTGGTTGAGACCCAAGCCAAAAATACCTGCAAAAAAGCCGGTGCACACGACGGGATTCCAAGTGAGCCACCTCCCAACTTTGGACCTGGTGGAGTTCCGCTGCACTTCCAAGACCGAGACCCACTGCGACAGATGCGGACCACCAAGTTGGAAAAGCTCGGGAACAGCGGCTGAGCTCAGAGATCGAGTACCATCCATTCCAGCAAAATGGAGATATAGTTTATGTAATAAGCTTTCTATCCTCCTGCAGGTTCCGAGGTCTAAAAACTTATGGAGCCATCTCGCCATGTGGTGTCTGTCCGAGGTCTTTTACTTTTACAGTCGATCATTGGAAAACAGTCGAAATCATTGACTCAAATTCACTGACTCACCCCCACCTCAAAGTAAGTTTGCTCATGTCGGGCATGTATACTTGGCTCCTCCTCTTGGGCCACCGACCGTACCAGGACATCTTTCTCCTGGCCCGTGACCTCCGGACAGGCAGCGAAAGGACCACAAAGGAAATGACGAAAGACAAGGACCTTGAAGGAGCAAGACGCTATCTTAGTTCCGATTCGGATCTTCAGTTGTTTGTCCCCATGGTCGGTTTAGGGCTCGGCCCAAGCACGTACTCGCAGCACCTTCCTCTTTATGTAGAGTCAGTCAGTCAGTCACACTCACCTTCACACTGAAAACATTGATGTGCGGACAGGGTCCCTTTCCAAAATACCATCCCAAATATGGAAAATACCTTAACACCGGAGTTTATTGGATTTGGAAATTCCAAACCCCACCAGATTCCAAATACCACCATCCAAATACCCTATTTGGCAGATCTTCGGTGTTTGGTCATGGGGGTACTAGGAGCTACTTTCCACAGTCAAGCTTGCATCACCGTCCAGAAGAGTCGGAATCAACGGCCTCGGCAACAGACAATAGGGAAAGGAGGCTCTTCAATCTGATCAGACACGGCCTCGGCATGTCTTCTCTCGGATCGGAACACCATCTTTCTGGGCAACTGCCTCGATGTTCTTGTTCTTGTACCGATGTTCACAGCACCCTCCATCTTCCAATCCATCCCAAAGTCCGTTCCCCCGAAGAGCTGTTCATGCCGGGCCCCCGCGCCGAGTACTGGTGCGTGTACTGGGGCCTCGAGAGGCCGTGCCAGAAACCATCTTTGCCCACCGAAAACACCTAAAGCTGTAGGTCGAAAGTCGGCGAAAAGGGAACGGCAAAAAACGGACGGCGTTCTAAGGGAGAAAGAGATGAGAAGAGAACTCCCCCACAAAAGCCGCCCAAAAGCGACTCGTTCCCGCTTCTGAAGAGAAAACCAACGATGCGCTGGGACCTCCATCTCGCGCAGCTGCGAGATGGCTCCGTGCAGAACGGAAGAGCCGTGGACCCCAACACCCATACCCCGCGCCTCCCATCGCCGCTCTCGAACAGCGTGGGGACCTCACTAGACTCAGAGCTTTTCACTCGAAATCTTCATGGAAGCCTTTTCCATGAGTTGTTCATCTTAATCCTTCAAGCAAAGACGAGATTCTTGTTTGAATAAAAAAATATATATCAATAAATAACAGCATACGGGGTAGGTGACCTTGCAAAGTTCGGCAGATGCGTCGTCTGTTCGTCGCATGGACGGACATGGATATCACTGCTTCTCCCACCCTTCCAGATCGCAAAACATCGAACTCTTTCGACTTCCGCTCTGTCTCGACCCAAGTGGATCGCCACTCGACCCCTTCTAAGATAGCACCAGCTTGATGTAGTAGTGGAACATGTAGGCTCCCTTGAGCACGATCTTCGCAGTGCCCTGGCGAAGATGGAGAACGCAGCAACTGCAGTACCCAGCGCAGTGCCCTGGCTACTTCAACTGAGGGCAACAGACTGGTGGACTTCAACTTGGCCTGTTTGTTGCAAGCCCAGTCACACTTGGAGTGCTTCTTGTGGACACTGTGGACACAGACCAAATAGAGTCTCCAAAAAGACATCGCAGGTTTTTAATGTTTTTTGGTGCCACCAGTAATAGCAGGTGCAAACTACTTCGGCTCAAGTCCCATGCAGTCAAAGGGTATCCATATGATTGACCCTGCTGGTAATCTTTGGAGGTGTCAACAACCCAACGACCAACAGAGATTCCCTCTCTCTCTCTCTCTCCCTCCCTCCCTCCCTCCCTCTCATCTTGCTTCGGCTCGCTACTGCAACCAGCGCGGCTCGGATAAACAGGGTTCAAATGTCTTGGGCTGAAGACGACCAACCGGCCTCCAGCGGGGACTCCACGCCGGGCACGCGCTCACCGAACCTTCAGTTCAGAAAGCCCCACAAACCGGTCCACGTTTGGGGGACAGGAAACAGCTGGTCGAAGGTTTTTTTTCTTTCCCAAGTGTTGAGGTCTCCTTTCCAGTGGTGCCACCGAAGAAAGCCATCGTCTTGGGGAGCCTTTCCGGCGACTTGGAACACATCACATGGTTTCGTGGAGGGCAAAGCCTGTTTGGTATTAGGAAAGTGGTCTTCCTTGAAGGGAACCTCTTTTCATCCACTTCCAGACACAGTCAAAGTGTATGATCTTTCGTGCTTTGCAAAATCAGACTGTTGGGGTCGAAGACCTATTCCAGTCGAAGTGCCGCTGAAAGGATGCAGTGGACCGGTCGTTCTTGTTCCAAAGCTCAAAACCTCGTCTCCTCCAAAAGATGAGCACGCCAGCAACGTGACAAACATGAGAAGTACTGTACAGTGCAGGGCCGAAACACAACAGGAGCACAACTGCTTCATAAGGAAGCACTGTACAGTACTTCTGAGCAGTTGTGTACTGTGAGCTTCCTGAACACTTCTCCGGGCCGAAACTGGAACCTGCACCGGATCTTTCCACGTCTTTCCCGCAAAACATCCTTGGGAACCGCTCTCGCTACCCGTCCCTGGCCCCCCTTACCATCCTTTCAGCTCCCACCGGCTACCTGCCGGCGAGCCCCGACCACCTTCGCCCCCGGCGGCCCCAGACCCAAACCCCCAGACATCCCGCGCTGAAGCCCTGACTCCAAGCGATGAATGATGTGCGAGGTGTTGAAGCCGTCGCTCACATCCTGCGTCTTCCCCCCAAAATCCGGTGGGACCGGGAAGAAGCACCGGCTTCGACCCAGGTCCGGTCCGTGACGAGTCTTTGGAAAGGTCCGGGACCGGGCCCAAAAGAAAGGCCTGATTGAAGCGTTCCAGAGGTTTACCCGCAGGAAAGCTGGCTTCTCCCATTCAGCCGAAGCCCGTTCTGCCGAATCCCGGCATGAGACAAGAATCCAGTGGAAAGCCGCTGGCTTTCTAGGCTTCGGATCCGTTTGGAGGATGAGGATGGCGGAGAGAGTTCCAGAAATCAACCACATCATTGGTACTTTAGGTACCACTTACATCACCTCTAACACCACCACATCATCCGGACCACTACCACGAGCCGGCAACACCGGTGATCCATTCGTCTTCCCATTTCGTCTTCCGCGTCTTGAGGGGTGGCTGTCCCTCCGCGTCTTGAGGGGTGGCTGTCCTTTAAGTTGAACTCGTGCACATGCTTTCCATCCCGCACCTGTCGACAAATGCTCCGGGTTCGCTCCCACATCCCCCGGTGGCACTGATGCATCCACTGAGTGCCCCGAAATGGAGGAAGCGCCCCATGGAGGAAGCGTGCCCAAATGTTGATTGTGGTGTGTGAAACAGAAAACCAGATTGGGTATGTTGAACGTGGACATTCGATTTCACAAAACCGGGACAATTCCACAAAACCACATTCCATTCACCTTGAACATAGTTCGACCGACACGCCAAGTTGTGACAGTTATGACCCACAAACTTCTATGACCATAGTCAACCTATGTCATCCCTGCATTCCTCCCCTCTTCGGTGCATTCCTTCTTTTTAGGGCTTCACTCCAGGCGACCTTGGTCGATGGTGACCATCGAACGAGCGCCGGAACGAGCGAACGGTCCATTCTTGGTCCATTCCGCCGTTGAACGGGACTTCACTCCAAACATCGTCGTGACTTAGTCGATCGACTTGTTTGCGTGAGCACCGTTGACATATTTCTTGGTGATGTTGAAGGTGTAGATTTCAAGCTTTCGCGTCAGCTGCTTCTGAACCGATGCCAGCCACCAAAGCAGCCACACTCCAAAGACCTCGAAAGGTCGATGGTGGCTGGACCCGCACCGCAACGGGCTTCAGGTTGGACCTAGTAGCAGCATTATACATATTGTATGTTAGAAGAGAGAGAGAGAGTAGAACTTTTGCTGGTGAAATAGCTGTGCTTAGATCACCTCACTTGGGCTCGGCAAAGACACACAACACGCAGAACCAAGGATTTCATCTGAAAGCTCCCCCTTTTCCCCATTCTCCCCAAACCTTTTATCTCGTGTTCGTTGCTCCTCAACGCAGTGAAAAGCATGCATGCAAATGCGCATCCTGCGCATCCTCCCTCTTCGTCCTCCCAACATCACCCCTCACTCCCCTCACGTAAGCAAGCGGCCGTGAGCAAGCCGACGAGGAGACGCCGCAGCAGCAAGGGCGGAACGGCCCAGGAGAGAAGCACCAGGAGGGCCTTACGCGACTGTTAGGTTGGAGTCCATGGCTATTAGGTTGGAGGCCATAGCTGGTAGGTTGGTGGACAGCGCCATTAAGAGACAGCAGGTTCCCCGCTCCACTGGCAGAGGCCAGTGGATTAGTTGGCAAAGGAGAAACTGTGAGAAGCGAGTTCATCGGTGGGGATGAGAAAATGGATTCCGGGATTCCCCATGAACCTTCAACAAGCCAGCTGCAATTCCACCACGCGTGGGTTTCGGGCGCCGTTCGCTCATCTGAAGGCTTGCACTCCAGCAAATGGAACAAGCCGATCAGGCTTGGTCCAGATTCACCGAAATCCCCGTCTATCAGGCTGCACTCAGAGTCAGCAAGCGCTTTCAACATACCATAGGTCTTGACGTTTCTACATTGACTGCTCATGAACCCTGGATGTTGTCACAGGTTATGACAGCTATGGTCCACAATCTTGTTTTGTTTAACTGGAGAGAAAATGTGCGATCAGGACTGCACCATCTGCGTCTGTAAGATGCCCTAGAATACGGCAGATCTGCAGGGTCAATCTGCAGGCACAAGTCCACTTGCTTTGGAAATGAAGCTGGGATTGAGATGATGATCTGCAAAGCCGTTTTGAAAACGCGCTGCACGAGTATGCTCTCCGAGGCTTGCTACAAGCCTGCAGGACCTCTGCCAGCTATAGAGCTGTGCCTTCTTCAAAATGTGTCAACGGCCTGCTGCCCGGTCCGAACGCGCAGCCAGGCGCGCTGAAAAAGTTCGGCCCAGCTGGCTGGCATGGCGGAAAAGAGGACAGAATTGGAGTCCTTCAGGTTCCGGAGGCTGGGCGAAATCTTCTCAGATGGAGCCAAACCTTTCCAGTTTGAGCCATCCGATGGAGCGTGGCCTCCACCGAGAGCCATCCAAGACTGGGCAAATGCACCCTCAGACCTGGCAGCGCCTGCGCGTGGAACTCGGGATCCATCTGGGTCTTTTCCTCGGATCGGGCGGAGGTGGCATGAAGGTGATCTGCGGTGCCGTTTCACCTCTGCGGGACCCCCCCAAAAAAGGACAGGACGTTCTGCAGGATTCTTGGGTAACCAGGGATGATAGGAGAAACAAACCAAGTTACATAGGTCAAGGGAAAAAATTATCCGGTCTACAGTCTACTCTTGAGGTCAGTTTCTGCAAATCTCACCACACGTGAGCGGATCTTCTCCCAGTCAGTAGGCCGGACAAGTTTGCGTAAGCTGGGCATGCTGGATTGCAAAGCTGAAGGAAGATGCTCAAAGTTCAACTCAACCTGTGAGCCAAAAAGCAGAAAAGGACCTGAAAATAGAAACGGTCTTAAGCTTTGCGTTTCCTTCTCGAAGATTGAAAACCGCACATCCCCTACTATAGACTGTATGCTAAATGATCTTAAGGCGGTTGGATCGCTCACCTGTTGTACATCTTGTAGCTCCGTCTCCACATTCACCAGCAAGAACATGTCTCGAAGCTCAGGACACTCTGGCCGCTTTCCTGGGCACCGTCCTCTGCCCGTGCGCAAACCAACGAGAGAGGTGCGTCGTCCCGAACCGGAGGAGAGAGAGGCGTCCCGTGTGGAGGGCGAGCGACTCGAGTCCCAGGGCAGAAGCTCTTCCGGCACGGCATCCTCTTTGGCCTCCGGCGGCGCCCGCGCCTCCGGATCCTCCTTGAAGGCGATGAGGTGGTGCGGCTCCACGGCGCCATAAAGCCCCGGGATGGGCACGTGGAAGATGTCGGTGCCCACGCGGATACCGGCCGCGCCGCGCAGGCACAGGCGGGAGCCCCGCGGCGCGGCCTCCGGATCCGCCCGTCGACGGAGCAGCTGGCGGAAGTGCTGGGGATCCTCCGTGAAGTGCTCAAACGATCGACCCTTTAGGCTCACATCGGCCATGATTAAGTGCCTGAGGCACTCACTCTCCTGGGCCACATGGAAATGATGGTCCAAGAGCACTTCTCCATCGCAAACACCTCTCAGCATCCTCCTGAAGCTGGAGACTAAGGACTCCGCATCCGCATTCTCCAGCTGCGCATAGATCCGGGATCGTAGTGCCCGATCGACGAAGACCGAAGAGAAAATGGTTTCTGCCAAGATAAAGAGCTGGTTGCTGACCAGTTCACCAACAGGCTCGCTGGACTGCAGGACATACAAATTTACATAAAGGTCCACTGCAGCGTAAAGAAATTGAAAAGGAATGGAAACGGATGGATCCAAAAAGATCAAGACGAGGCAAAAGCGACCTGCCACGAAGCCTCGCATCATGTCCGCCATGAGCGGCTTGCCAGACCAAACGGTTCCAAAGATTACCGAGACGGGGAGCATGTGCACAAGGCAGGTCAGAAATTTCACCAGGTTCGGAGAAAGGTGCGCCATTTCCCTCCCCAACATCAGGAAGAGTGCGTAGGCCACAATGCACCCAGTGGCAAGTGTAATGTTGTCAAGAGTAGGTGTGGCAACCACAAGGTAGACATAGAATATGCCGATCACCAAATCGACATGACAAAGACACCGGCTAAACAACTTGTAGTTCCTTACTGCTTTGATTGTCCAACAAATACGAGACTCCAGAACCTTTTGTTGCCACATATTTTCAGGTCCTACTGACTGGGTTGCGGATCGTTGCATGCCGGGAACCAGAATAGTTTTGCAGCTAAGCTACCATGTTTCTTCCATCCCTAATGTACAATGTTGATTGATAAAATCGCCACACTTGGATTGTAAAAACCCTTCAGGCCTAAGGGGTTGATTTATGAGGTTTACGCCTGACAGCCGGGCGCCGGCCCACTTGGGTCTGTGTAGGGCTGGGTCCTGTCTCTCTCTCTCTCTCTCTCCCTCTCTTCTCTCTCTCTCTCTCTCTCTCTCTCTTTGAGACTTGGTGGGGCCTATATTAAGCAAAGTGAAGCTATCTGGTGCGCATCTTGGCCCTAGGTTGGGCCAAGTTGGGCCCATGTGGTCTATGTTGGGCACATCTTGGGCCCAAGTTGAGCCTATGTTGGGCCTAGGTTGGCCTATGTTAGGCCTATGTTGGCCTAGGTTGGGCCTATGTTGGGCCTATGTTGGCGTATGTTGGCCCCATGTTGGCCTATGTTGGCCCTATGTTGAGCCATCTTGGAGGCTATGTTGGGCATATGTTGGCTATCTTGGGCCTATGTTGGGGATATGTTAGGCAATTTACGTTGAAAAAATCTTCCGATACAACTGTTTACCTTCCCACAAAGCAAAAACCGTGGAAAACCAACGTTTTTTAACATCGCCAAGATGAAATTCTCGGCCGCCGGGGGGGCCAAAACCCTGTAAAACACAGTGTTTTTTATACCTCACACACACGAAACACTGTAAATTACATATAAATCTGTCGACCGGATTCGGGCGGGGGTCGGGCGGGGGTCGACCGGGGGTCGGGCGGGGGTCGACCGGAGTCCAACAAAAGGGTCGGCGGCAGGGGCGGCGAGCGTATATAACCTTCGGTTACCAACCGAAAGGGAACGTGCGCGTGGCCGGCGCCCGGACTTGAAGCAAATGTTTAGGCTTGCTTCCAAGCCCTGACAATGCGAAGTCAATGGTCAGTGCCCAAGCTCGGACAACCCTCCCCGACCTCAACATCCAGATTGAAGTACCACAGCAAAAGAAAGCTGGAGTCATGGTTTGATGGAAAGAGCAGTTCAAGAAGTCAAGACCGTTGCCTCCAAGACGGCACTATCTTTTCCAGCTCTCTCTGCGAAGACTCTCCATCAACTCCCTCAATGCCACAGAGGTCGTGCAGGGATACACTCCTCATCAGTGGGTGTATGGGAAGCAGTTTAGCTTCTCCGATGAAGATGAAAGATCCATGCAGCAGATCCTACCTGATGTCTCAGGTACTGACTTCATCTCCTTGCTCTCCAAGGCGAGAAAGGCGAGATCTCAGTTGGTTCTTGGGAAGCTTCGCAATTCCCAAAGCAGCCATTGACAAACAGTACCGTTGGGGCGCCGCAAAGCAGAACAGCTACCGCCATGCAGGTACAGATTTGTCCACGCAGAAGGACGCTAAGTTTGGGAGATGTCTTGTGGTGGATCAACAGTTTTACATTGAAATGTTGCAGGATTTTGTTGTGCACCCCACTCGGTTCAGCAACGGATCATCCACCATGACTCCCAAGGAGATTGCTGCCTGTCGGACATCACTTGGTGCCTTGCAGTGGTTAGCGGTCCAGTCACAGCCGCTG